CTCTCTGCAACCCCATGGACTTCTCCAGGGTATTCCCTTCTCCAGGAGATCGTTCCAAACCAGGGATCAAACCCAGGTCTGCCACATTGCAGGGAGATTCTTTACCATCTGAGCCACCAGGAAAGCATGGAAACATACAGCACCATATATAAAATAAATAGCCAGTGGGAGTTTGCTGGATGAAGCAGGGAAGCCAAAGCTAGTGCTCTGTGGGTGCCTAGAGGGGTGGGATGGGGAGGGAGGTGGGAAGAAGGTTCAAGAGGGAGACGACATCTGTATGTCTCTGGCTGATTCATGTTTGTGTGTGATGGAAACCATCACAATATTGTAAAGTAATTATCCTTCAATTAAAAATAAAATAAATGCTTAGTCGTTACTTGTGGCTGGTAGCTACCATATTGGACTACAAAGCTCTACGGTGACCTACTTGGACTATGTCAGTAGTATAAGGTTGTTTTTCAGTTCCCCAGAGAAGGCTCTGCCAACCTTCTGCCCCAAGGGTAAGGATTTTGGGGTGCTGGAGTCCTGAGAAACTAGAACGGGGAAGGTGCTGGGTGTCTCAGTATATAGAGTACGCATAGATTAATTTACTTGTCTTTTTGGTATAGGATTTCTGCCCGTAACTGTGCGTGGCATCCCCCACGCCAGAGATCTGTGTTTTACCCTCTTCTAAGAATAAATTTACAGTTTTATGCTGGAGTAAGGGAGGGTAGTCTCCTGATGGCATGAGGGGAGGGGCTTTGGGGATAACAGGAGGATCTACAGGTCCAACTGCTTCTTTACGTGAAAAGTGAAAGTCGCTCAGTTGTGTCTGACTCTTTGCGATCCCGTGGGCTATACAGTCCATGGAATTCTCCAGGCCAGAATACTGGAGTGAGTAGCCTTTCCCTTCTCCAGGAGATCTTCCCAACCCAGGGATTAAACCCAGGTCTCACGCATTTCAGGCGGATTCTTTACCAGTTGAGCCACAAGGGAAGCCCAAGAATGCTGGAATGGGTAGCCTGTCCCTTCTCCAGCGGATCTTCCTGACCCAGGAATCGAACTGGGTTCTCCTGCATTGCAGGCGGATTCTTTACCAACTGAGCTATGTAACTGCTTTTTAAACAGCCTTTAAACCAATCTTATTTTTGGCCTTCCTCTTCTCTAGCTGCTCATTTCTGTAGGTATTACACCTGGTGCTGCTAATTCCTGAGCCTGTTGAGGATTCTTAAGTACAGTCTGGATAGTTACTATCTTTTCCTTCGTCAGGTTTAGGGCTCATTTTTCTTAGATCTGTTGAGTCTTAGTCCCAGCTTCAAAGTTGGTTATAATTACGCTTTTCTTGTTTTTCCCAACCTTGTACGCTCATTCCTTTTTTTTTTTTCTTTTTCTAAAAATTCCTTTTCTGTACATGTAGAAATATTTCAAAAAGGGGGGGAATTTAATTCAGTTTACTGTCTTTTACCTGGATGTCCCTATTAATTTGTATTCATGAGCAGATTTTGATATGTTAAAATTTTTTCATTCTGTATTTATGCTTCCTTCAGTATCTGTATTTGTAGTTAAAGGTTTTAGTATATATCTTCAGTAGAAGACTCGGTAAGAGGGACAGGAAGATGAAGTATTTAGTGCAGTTAGGGTTTGTAGTTTAATGGCAGAAAATAATTGATAGCAAACAAGGGAAAAGATGAGCATAGAGGCATATAGAAATAGGTGGGATCATTAGAGATCATCAAAAAGCTTGAACTTCTGGGGCATAATGCATAAGTACAGGTCCAGTAGCATTTATCTTCTAGGACTCCACTATTTTTAGTCATTCTTACTTTTCATGAACTAGGAATCTCTTGTTACCTACCTCAGAGAATCCACAAAGCATGTTATGTATCTTAGAAAATTCACAAAACAGTTAATGATACAATTAGGAAAAAAGCCTCACAAAACTTACCATTTGTAAACTGTAAGATCCTTAAGGAAAACACATGTAGCATTAAATAAGTAAATTAATACACCCTCAATATACTGTAGCAGCAGGTTCTATTTCAGTAATAGAGCTTTGGGTGTTCTGTTGGGTTCTGAAGCAGAATTTTGCCTGCACTGTGATTCACTTTGCTGGTAGATGCTGCCCTCTGTTGGGAGTAGTTGAGAAATACATGCATCAGTTTTGCTGTCCTTACTCAAATTGAGCACTAAAACATGGATACTTTTTTTTTAAGGAATTAATCTGTTTCTAATGATGCACCAAGGAAACCTAAGGAGACTGGTTTTTTCCTTTTTAAGAAAACAGATTTTTTTTGTGTGTGTCTAAAAGCAACAGTGGGCATTAAATGGGAACAAGACAAGAATTTGGGGAATGCAAAGGTTTAGGGCTATCTGGAGACCAGAGTTCCATACCCAGCTTGCCCTTATATGACCTCAGTGATTTACTCCATCTGTGTGGGCTTCAGTTTCTTCACCGATGAAATGAAAAGGTGGAACAGATCTCCAGGGATTGGTATTTTAGGAGAGCAGCCCCAAATTATGGTATTTGTTCATAGGCAATACAATGACTGAGTCTTAGGCTCTGCCCTGAAGGAACTTAGTCTGGAAATAGCTAGAGGAGACAGACAATCAAAATACAGTTGTAATCCACTTGTAGTGCTGTGAGGCGGGCAAGTACCTATTTCTGCAGAAACATAAGGAGAGGTACCTTTCCAATTAGAGGAGGTGTCATCCTGTAGGGCCTGTTGGAGCTAGCCTTGAAAGCAGTCTCCACTGAGGGAAGCAGCAGCCTAGGGAAGGTTTGTGGTGGTGAGACAGTGTGATCTCTCTGTGGACTTGCAATGAATTCAGGATGCCCAGAAGATAGGGTTTGAGGTAGAGGGCTTGTTGAGAGATGAGTCAAAACAAAGAAGTCAGAAGTGTCCTATGCAATGCTAAGGAATTCGGATCTTAACCCAAGGGCAGTAGGGAACTATTATAAGATTTTAAATGAGAAATAACCCAGACAGCTCGACATTTTAGAACAATTACTCTTGGATTTAGTATAGAGCATAGATTTTGTGTTGGGCAGATGGGAGTGAAGGAAGGGACATGAGTTAGGCTACTACAATAAATCAAACGACAGCTCATACCACTAGGATGGAGGGAAGAGAAAGGAGTCTGCCGGCAGAAAAAACAGGTTGCTGGTTTCCTGTTCTTTAACTTAACCTGCAGCTACGAAGAGTCCAGCTGGCACTGATTCATTAGACCCAGGTTCTGTTATCTATGTTATATCCATCCCAGAATTGTTTGGGTGGGTGGGTGGTTCTGACGGAACATTTTGAGTTTGGAGGGCAAGGTTCTGGACTGGAAGCACTTGCTCTAGGAGCAAGTAAGTGTAACCTTGGTAGTGGCAACCTGACTATAAACACTCACCCTTTGTGTGGCTTGTTTCACCTGTGTCAGGTGACCCAGAGTGATGACAAAAGGAACTGTGGGTCTGCCTGGTGTTGCGGTCTCTGTCTCGTGACCCTTCTGCCGTGGCTGCCCAGTGAGCAGCGCACACACAGGGTAGCTTTGGATTCCATGGACACTGAGCAAAGTTCTTAGGGTTTCGGGTGAGTGATTAGCATTCCATCAGCAGGAGGTTGACCTCCTCTGGACTGTGGAGGGCAAAGTTAAAATTCACAGTTTACATGGGATTTAACAAACTCTTGACATTGGGCACATGAGCATAATGACATAGATTTTTCTTGTCTGTAAAAAGGTTAGTAGAATAATTTTGTGGCAGTGTCAAATAGTTTTTTGTTAGTTGAAGAATGTTAGTCAAGAGGCATTTACTGTACTCTTCTAAGAACAACAGCAAAAATAAGATTAAAAAAATGTTTTTGGCAGCACTCAATGGCATGCGGCATCTTAGTCCCCAACCAGGGATTGAACCCATGTCCCCTGCATTGGAACGCAGAGTCTTGACCACTGGACCTCCAGGGAAATCCCTGGTTTAAAACTAAGTATTGGAATAAAGAATTCCTGCTTTCCTGTACCTGCTTGAATCAGACTTTTTCTGGTAAAGTACAGCACACATACAGAAGAGAAGAGAATATAAAACATACAGAAAAGTTATAAATAGAACATCCATGTATCCATCATCTATCTCAAGAAATAGAATTTTATTGTAAGCACCCCTGAAGCCCCCATCCCTTTCTACAATCATTATTCTTCCACCCACCCCAGGTAACCACTGTTTTGCCATTTGTGGTAATCATTCTCTTTATACATCCTAGATAATGTAATTTAATTTTGCATGTTTTTAATCTCAATGTAAAAGAAATAATACATTCACTTTTATATTTGTGAGTAGCTACATGTTCATTCACTTTCTGCACATAATTATTTTCCACTGTACCATTACACCAGTTTACCCATTCTACTCCAGATGGCTGTTTGGATTGTTCTCTGTTTTAGATATTACAGTGTTACTGTGAACATTCTTGTTATACTCAGCCTGCTATGTAAGTGCAACTTTCTGAAGGAAAGGTAGATTTATAGAACTTGTTGTGTTGAGTTGTAATATATTTGCATATTTTCACTTTACTAGATTCTGTTCTCCATTGTGTTTTCCAAAGTGGCCATAACAATTTACATAACACCAACAGTGTGTGAGAGCGCCTGCTGCTCTGTGACTAGACACATGACAATTTTTTTGCCAGTCTTGAGAGTAAAATGATAACCTTGTTGTGGTTTTGGTCTGCATTTCCTTGTTTACTAATGAAGTTGAACACATTTCATAGGTTTATCGGTCATCTGATTTAGAGTTTTTTAGTTCTCCACCTCTTTTCCCCCAAAGGGTTATTATATGTTAGTGACCTTAAAACTCCTCCTGCCCCTTACTTAAGGGAATGTGCTAAGGAGTATGGCAGAAATCTAGCTTGTAGGAAGGAGCCTAGATCCTTTCAACTTGTTTTCTCCTCTTTTTTTCCCCAATCCATCTGGTATTTAGGAAATTTCCTGGCATTTCACTCATCTCTCTTCCCTCTCTTCTCCTTTCTTTTTCCTGTTCCTAGACTCTGAAGAGACTCATGGCAGATGAGGTAAGGAAATTTTGTTCAGCATGTGCATGGCTCATTTCCTACACTTATGGTATTTGCCAGTTGCAATAACTTTGACTTTCTATAACTTATAAATGTGATATGGGGTCTACTCTCAGGTCCTCCCACAGCTTTTTCTAACTCTCTGCTCTATTTGATTTATTGCATGCATTTCCCTGGCATGTTCACTGACTTCCAAGGTTGGGCATGTTCTTTAAACTCTGAGCTGACTTGCTGTCTGGATGCCATTCATATCATTGGAAGCCCCAGAATGCTTGCAGATGCTAACTCTTATTTTCAAACAGGTAGTGCCGATAAGCTACAGTTTATCGGTAGCTCTTTCTGAATTGAATACCTGTCCTTGTGGTTTGAGGAATGGTTGAGGTTGGTTGACAGAGAGATGGTGTATATAGCCCTGAAGCCTGAAGTACAATAGATTATATTCTTTGCAAAGACAATTTTGGAGAATATATTTTGAACTTTTGCTGTTTGCATAACACAAGTGCTATGGAGTGTACAGAAGAAAGAAATAACAATGGTTCCTGGTTTTAAGGCATTTCCTTGTTTCTTGTATATAACTTATATCAAAATCATGATCAGACTAAGCTCTCAAAGGGAGCGGTCCTCTGAGGATCTGGCCACAGTTATTATTGGGTAAGTAGAGGGAAACAGGGCATTTTCCTGAGCACTCCGCATGTGAGGTGCTTTCAGTCCTAGGTTGCTCGAAGGCTTAGAAATGGCAGAGGAGCTAAAGAGCAAAGTTCTCTTTTTTAGACAGGTTCCAAATTTTAGTATTTCATTCTCCTTATCTTTGGATGAAGGTGAGAGTACAGAGTCAGTGTAGTAAATTAGATACAGGAAAGACTGGTTTCTCTTTTTCATGTCAGAAGAGCCTTGGAATTGCCCACAAACCAAAGGAACCATAGGCATATAAGAGGCTAGAGGCTATTTGAGGTATGGTTTGTTGTGTAAATAAAAATGGGTCACTGCTAATTCTTTTTTCTCTTTCTCAGCTGGAGAGATTTACCAGCATGAGAAGTAAGAAGGAGAAAGAAAAGCCCAATTCTGCTCATAGAAATTCTTCTGCATTTTATGGGGATGATCCCACAGCACAGTCATTGCAAGATGTTTCAGATGAGCAAGTTCTAGTACTCTTTGAACAGATGCTGGTAAGTTCCCCACCTCAAAACATTGCTTCTTCTTGAAAATGCTTTTATGGGCATGTTTGTTGTTTAGTCACTAAGTCGTGTCCAACTCTTTGAGACTTCCTGAACTGTACCTGCCAGACTTCTCTGTCTATGGGATTTCCCAGGCAAGAATACTGGAGTGGGTTGCCATTTCCTTCTCCACTTATAGGCATGATGGGTCCTTTTTCATGCACAGCCCTCCTTAACTAGCCCTTAATTACCAAAAAAATGCTCTAGGTTTAATAGAGAACTTAATAGCAGCTCCATTAATGAAGGGACTAAATATACAGGCACCAGTCTGTAGATTGGAATCTGTGAGTTAGGCTTAGAAATATCTGATCACTGACCACCTTGTTAGTCTCTTAGCCCAGCAGCACTTAAGCCACAAAGATACAGAGTAAGTGGGCCAACTAATGTGGTAGTGTGATGACAGCCAGAGTAGATAAAGATTTAAAACATTCACAACAAAATCTCTACAAAGAGGAAACTTTGGAGAGGTGGAAATTTGGAAAGGTGTCATTTGCCCAAGGTCTTCTGTTTAGTGGTAAATCTGGAAAGAGAATTCTGATGTTATAATCACTAGAAGACCTTTAAAGTTTGGGGCTGAGGTCAGTTCAGTAATAACCTGTGCATGGGTGACACTGACTTTGCTGCCCTCAGTGAGGACCGCTGAGTAAGGACACTCAGAGAATGTCCATCAGTGCTGAGGGTTGCAGAGTTTTGAGTACATGTTTATATGGTTTCATGAGACCTATGGATTAACTTGGATTTACCATCTCAGCTTCAATTAGAGACTAGTGGCGAGTCTAAGTTAAAAGCATGGGATTAAAACCCTTAATACAGGGCCTGGTACCTGTGGTAGTAAACCCTCAGCCAGTACTACTACTATTACTTTTCACTGAAGCTTTCAGTGTGTCTCATAATGATCCAAGTGTGTGAAGAGTCTAAGAGTATCATCTTTCAAGACAATCTCTTAGGTGCTTTGGATTGCAAATTGAGATGTCTTCAGGGCAAGGGGAGGTAGCATTAATAAGTTAAGGGCTACATAAACGATGATAAAAAGAAAAAGAGACTGCAGTAAAATGAAGAACATTTGGCATTTTTGTTAAAAGCCAGCCACAATTCACTTCCAGGTTTCGTAGCATTCCGGTTGGGAATGCTAGCCCAGTAATCCCAGATGTTTCTATTTTTCAAGAAGCCAGAAATCTGTACGTTTTTAAAAAAGCAACAAAATTTTTTTTTTTTTTTTTTTAAAAACAAATAGCCAGCATTCAGATTTCCCTAATAAGGTCATTAAAAAAATTTTTGTTTATTCAAGTCGTGATTCCAGATAGGGTCCATTGTAATATTCTCCAAAGTTTCATTTGAACTATAGATTTTCCTTTCCTTCCTATTGCTATAAAAAGTTTCTTGAAGAAGCTGTTTGACTTTTACAATTTTCTGTAATCTTAAATTTGCTGATTGTATCCCTTGGTGCTAGAAATTCATATTTTTTTATGAAGTCTCTCAAATTTAAAATATTGAAATTTTTAGAAGACAAAGCATATTTAGAAATTTTAGAAGACAAAGTATACTTCATCTTTGGGTCTGATTCAGCCTCAGGGCCACTATTTTGCAACTTTTCTGTTCAGTTTATCTGTAAAAGGAGGAAGAAAGCACCAGAAATGGAGTCAGAAAAAAGTCAGATTACTATTACGGTTTGGTGGTGGTGATTCCTTTACACATCACACACACACACACACGGAGAAGAAATGGAATATTTCCACTTTTTCCTCCTATACGTTCCCATTTTAAATAATATTCTGGACTTGTTAGGGTTGAACTTCTGCTCACAGAGATGGGAGGCTCAGACAGATGGTTTCATATGTAACATGCTCAAGCAGGGCCTTTCTCCTGATAACACACTCCAGATTATGTCTGTTGAGGGAATTTGTCAGTTTCCAGTTTGTTCTTCATGGAGGAGTTTGTCCAGGAACTTAGTTAACCAGGAGTAACGGGTGTTTAGGCCTAGAGTGGCACAGATTTTGCTGGTGTTTGAATGGTGCCAGTGGTTCAGTGCTTCAGCCTGAAGAAATTACTAAAGTCCATCCCAAGTGCAGAAAATATTAATGCTATGTTTGCTTTTCTTTCAATAATACAAAGTAAGTTTTCCCTCTGTATTGAGAGTCCGTTCTTGTTAGGAGTAAATTTAAGTGTATGTATATAAAAATGTCTGTTGGGATTTATACTAAAATGTTAACCATATTTATTCCTGAGGAATTCCCATCATCTCTAACAGCTTAAGTCTCTAGGGGTCAGGAAAATTTCTTTATTCAGTAAGCATTTAGTGTGTTCATCTCTTCACTAACTGTACTAAATATTAAATACTCAAACTTGTAAGGAATTCAAAGCAATTTTCCCCCTTTTTTCCTCCTGCTACTAGCTGGATATGAACCTGAATGAGGAGAAACAGCAACCTTTGAGAGAGAAGGACATTATCATCAAGAGAGAGATGGTGTCCCAGTACTTACACACCTCCAAGGCTGTGAGTCCTGGGGCAGGTACCCATGACATGGGAGACTGTGCCCTTATCTTGGCCATGTTTGTTTTGGTACTTTCATAGAACATTTTATGTCCACGTTAGTTCTATTTCATTCTTTTATGTAAACTTACTCATTTTTTACCCTCACTTGAGTTACTTTTCTTACATACATTTGCCTAATTCAATCATCATAAAGTATGTATGAGTAATGGGAAGGAAATTCTGAATCTCATCATTCTGTGGTATGTATGATGGGTGTCTGCCCTCATACTGTTTAAATGGTATTAACTAATACTAGTCCAATTTATGACTGAGTCCAGGGTTTACTGACCTCTATTTGCTTCTTTCCAGGGCATGAGCCAGAAGGAGAGCTCTAGGTCAGCCATGATGTACATTCAGGAGTTGAGGTCAGGCTTGCGGGATATGCCTCTGCTCAGCTGCCTGGAGTCCCTTCGTGTCTCCCTCAACAACAACCCTGTCAGGTGAGGATTCGAACGTGGAAACAGGAGTAAGAGCCCGCTGTAGAATTCACTGGTGGGGATTAGAGATCAAAGGAGTCAGGGAAGTATGAGAATGTTCTGGATTGGGAGTAAGAAGTTGCCAGGATACATTTTATTTTTGTGGATAAGAGTATATTGATTTGATATTGCGTTGTCTTTGTTCCTTACAGTTGGGTCCAAACATTTGGTGCTGAGGGCCTGGCCTCCTTATTGGATATCCTTAAACGACTTCATGATGAGAAGGAGGAGACTGCTGGGTGAGGACTTCCAAGTCTTGTCATCTTCTAGGTGGAGGGTAGTAGAGGACTTGGCTGTTTGCTGTAAAAGAGGAAATGGCATAAATGTAAAGTTAGGACTAGGACATTATATGTTGGCTGAGAATGGGGTTTATCGTGGGGGTGACTGGAGGATGAATAATTATTATAGATACAGGAAAAGGAAGAGGAACTTAAATTTCTCAGTATATACCACATATGATTGTGAGTCTCCCAATACAGGTTCTTATCCCATCTGGAAATGTGGTCTGATTAGTCCAAAGCTCTCCCGTGATCTGGTCTGGGTCATATCTCATTTGGAAATAATGTGTGATCAGTTTGAGACTAACTTTATGATAGTCTTCAGGGTTGAAATAATTCTTGCACTGACTTAAGTTAGGCTTTCTTGAAGCCAACCTGACCCAGTATGGTTTCTCTACTTCCTGGGATCTTTCCAAAGCAAAACACAGGTCCTCTACCTCCTGAAAGTACAGACTTGAAACCTTTGGTGTAGATGAGGCAAGCAATAATAGATAGGATGCTATTGTGATAGAATTTAGCCCTTAGGAGCCTACTAGGAGTTAAAGGGGAGATTTTAATATAATACTAAATTCTTGGTTAATGAGAGGATTAGCCAGTGGTTCTTTCCTTCAGCTATCTCTTTTTGCCAGTGTTTCAGGACAAAGTGCTATGTGCTAGAGTTTACTCAGCTACTAGTTGGGAGTGTTCATAAGACCCTTGTTTATAGTTGAAAAGTCAGTGGGAGACAGGTGTAGAATAAAGGGACTTCACTAATTATGTCTTATACACACAGAGGCTATGACAGCCGTAACAAGCATGAGATCATTCGCTGCTTGAAAGCTTTTATGAATAACAAGGTAAGATTGTTCCCATTCTCACTCTGACTCCCATCATGATCCCTGTTCTTGCTCTTCTGTTGGCAAACTCAAAAAAGAAGGACCTAGAAATACAAGGTTCAAGGCTTCTAGCTTTCCCTTTTAGTATTGTAACTTTTGATTACCACATACACATACTGTTACATATCTTTTTCCTCAGTTGTAATGTCTATTTCAGAGGAAAGGCTTAATTTTCTTCTTCTGTTTATACTTTTGTTAATTATTGGATTTCCTGACCTGCAGTTATTAATTTTTGGAAGGTTTACTTTATTCTCTGCTTTATTATTTTGTCCCCTGTATGTTCCTACTGTAGAATATTTCCTTTCTCTCTCTTTTTTTTCCTGTTTAGTATTTAAACCTAGGGAGCCTTCAATGATTTGTTCATGAGTGCAAATCTGTCTTTCTGACTGTTTAATTTTATTATAATTATTCTATTGGCTTGTGGGGGCATTGAAAAAGAAACATAAGAGTCAGTTTTTATTCTTGGAAGACAGAATTCTATTGTGTCTGCTCAGTTCAGTTCAGTTTCTCAGTCGTGTCCAACTCTTTGCGACCCCATGGACTGCAGCACTTCCTTGTCCATCACCAACTCCCGGAGTTTACTCAAACTCATGTCCACTGAGTCGGTGATGCCATCCAACCATCTCATCCTCTGTCGTCCCGTTCTCCTCCTGCCTTCAGTCTTTCCTAGCATCAGGGTCTTTTTCCAATGAGTCAGCTCTTCACATCAGGTGGCCAAAGTGTTGGAGTTTCAGCTTGAGCATCAGTCCTTCCAATGAACACCCAGGACTGATCTCCTTCAGGATGGACTGGTTCGATCTCCTTGCAGTCCAAGGAACTCTCAAGAGTCTTCTCCAACACCACAGTTCAAAACCATCAATTCTTCGGCACTCAGCTTTCTTTATAGTCCAGCTCTCACATCCATACATGACTACTGGAAAAACCATAGCCTTGATTAGACGGACCTTAGTTGGCAAAGTAATGTCTCTGCTTTTTAACTTGCTGTCTAGGTTGGTCATAAGTTTTCTTCCAAGGAGTAAGCGTCTTTTAATTTCATGGCTGCAGTCACCATCCGCAGTGATTTTTGGAGCCCAAGAAAATAAAGTCTGTCACTGTTTCCACTGTTTCTCCATCTGTTTGCCATGAAGTGATGGGATTGGATGCCATGATCTTAGTTTTCTGAATGTTGAGCTTTAAGCCAACTTTTTCACTCTCCTCTTCCACTTTCATCAAGAGGCTCTTTAGTTCTTCTTCACTTTCTGCCATAAGGATGGTGTCATCTGCATATTTGAGGTTATTGATATTTCTCCCGGCAGTCTTGATTCCAACTTGTGCTTCATCCAGTCCAGCGTTTCTCATGATGTACTCTGCATATAAGTTAAATAAGCAGGGTGACAATATACAGCCTTGACATACTCCTTTCCCAATTTGGAACCAGTCTGTTGTTCCGTGTCCAGTTCTAACTGTTGCTTCCTGACCTGCATACAGATTTCTCAAGAGGCAGGTCAGGTGGTCTGGTATTCCCATCTCTTTCAGAATTTTCCATAGTTATTGTGATCCACACAGTTAAAGTCTTTGGTATAGTCAATAAGGCAGAAATAGATGTTTTTCTGGAACTCTCTTGATTTTTCAATGATCCAGCAGATGTTGGCAATTTGATCTCTGGTTCCTCTGCCTTTTCTAAAACCAGCTTGAACATCTGATAGTTCACAGTTCACGTATTGTTGAAGCCTGGCTTGGCGAATTTTGAGCATTACTTGTTGTGTCTGCTAGAAAATTATTTTTCCTATGCTCATTTTTGTTTAGCTATTTTGGGAAGCATGTTCTATCCTGTATTAGTTTGCTAGGGTTGCTAGAACAGTACTACAAACTAGGTGTCTTAACAGAAGTTCATTTACCTCACAGCTCTAAAGGCTGTAAGTCCAAGATCAGGGTGTCAACAGGATTGGTTCCTTCTGAAGGCTGTGAGGGAGGGTGTGTCCCATGCTTCTCTCCTAGCTTCTGGTGTCTTGCTGGCAACCTTTGAGATTCCTTGACTTGTATATGCATCACCTAGTCTCTGTCTTTGAGTTTACGTGGTGTTCTCCCTGTTTACCTACATCTCCTCTTTTTATAAAGACAACAGTTATATTGGGTTAAGGACCCACCCTACTCTAGTCTGACCAAATGGTAATCTAATTGACTACATCTGCCTGTGACCCTGTTTCCAAATGAGGTTACAGTCTCAGGTACTAGGGGTTAGGGCGTCAACATACGGATTTTGGGAGGAATACCATTCAACCCATAACAACTCATAACTTGTCCCTGGTTAGGTGCTCTCATCTTTAAGCCTTCCTTTTCTGTTTTTGTTCTCCTAGTTTGGAATCAAGACCATGTTGGAGACAGAAGAAGGAATTCTGCTGCTGGTCAGAGCCATGGATCCTGCTGTTCCCAACATGATGATTGATGCTGCTAAGCTGCTGTCTGCTCTCTGTATCCTTCCGCAGCCAGAGGACATGTATGTGACTGGAATGATTTTTCTATTTTCTTTTTTATCATCTTCCTTAGTCTTGGGGAATATTGAGTTGCTTGGGTGTCCACTTACTCTTAAATACTAGGTAAGACTATATTTCTTAGGTGAACACTGTGAATCTTAATATTTAAGAATGTTTGTTAAGAGATGGAGGCTGTTCTGCATGTACTGCTGCTTATCAAAGGTACAGCAGAGTGCCTCCTAGATCTCCAGTAATGTCTGTATTGTCTAGGACAAGGGTTTCTTTTTACATTTTTTAAAATTCAGAAATAACACAAGGTTATTTTAAAACTCTGAACAACACAGAAATATGTGAAGTACAATTAAACAATGTCATCCCTTTGGCAAACCCTGCTCTACAGAGGTGACCACTGTTAATGGTGTGGTGTAGTCTCATGGATCATTTTCTTTCTTTTTTTTTTTCATGGATCATTTTCTAGCGTAGACAAATATACTAAGTTATAACATACCTGCCACTCCAAAAGATGGTATCTTAGAATTAAGGAAAGGTGGCGCTAGTGGTAAAGAATCCACCTGCCAATGAGGAGATGCTAGAGACACTTCCCCCTGGGTTGGGAAAATCCCCTGGAGTAGGAAATGGCAACCTGCTCCAGTATTCTTGCCTGGAAAATTCCATGGATGGAGGAGCCTGGTGGGCTACCGTCCATGGGACTGCAGAGTTGGACATGACTGAGCACACATACATGTATTCTTTGTACTATATATATATTATTTCATATTTATGTACTTATGTTGGGTAGATTTTCTAGGAGTAGGCCAATGTTATCGGCATTAAAAATTGGTACTGTTAAATGCCTCTCCAAGAGTTGTCCAATTTATACGCCCTAGAACAGGGGTTTTAATTTGGTAAATATGGATAGGAGTCTAGGGCTGTGTTTTTAGGGAGTGCATTTTTCTGAAGAGATGGTCCTTAGTTTCCTGGTGATCTGGCCTCTGCTCTATATGATAAGAAGAAGAATATGAGAAATCTAGAATGTTGATATTGTCTGTTTCCTAACCGATCTGTGCCCCTGTGTAATCTACCTGACCAGAGCACCTGACCAATTCTCTCCCTTTCCTCACTCTTGGGCAGGAATGAAAGGGTTTTGGAGGCGATGACAGAAAGAGCTGAAATGGATGAGGTGGAACGTTTTCAGCCACTGCTGGATGGATTAAAAAGTGGGACCTCCATTGCTCTCAAGGCATGTGTACCTATGAAATGGCCTACAAGTGGAATTCAAGATAGAAAGACTGAAGTTCATTTGACCTTTTTTTTTTCATTTGAACTTTTAAAAGAACACATAGAGTGGTTACCAACAATGTATTTTATATTTCAGAGTTCTTTCTGAAGGGAAAATGGTTACTCTTCTCTCTAAAAAGCAGAGAAAGAACTGTTTTCCTCATTACCAGGTGGAAAAAAGGCATGGTATTTATTTACAAGCTAGGAAAACCAAGGCCCAGAACAAATTACACTTTCAAATCCCCAGAATTCTTTAGACCTCTGAGCTCTCTGGACCTGTGTTTAAACCAGGTTAATTTGCTGTAACAGAAAATCATTCTTGTCGTTTTTGTACTGCATCTTCTAGGTAATATTTGGGGGCCTCAGAATGCATGTAAAGAGAGTGGGATCTTGATCTCTAGGAGTTAACATTGACACAGCTGCTGAATTTTCTTATCTTAGGTGGGATGCCTACAGCTCATCAATGCTCTCATAACACCAGCTGAAGAACTTGACTTCCGAGTTCACATCCGAAGTGAACTGATGCGCTTGGGGCTGCACCAAGTGTTGCAGGTGAGAGGCAGCTCTTCATTAGAAAGGCTGGGCTGGTTCCTCCTGTTCCTATAGCCCCACCATCCCTGGGATAACTTCCATTTTCAGTTTAAAAACCAGGTTGAGGGAGTTTCCTGGTGGTCTACTGGTTAGGATTCAGCACTTTCACTATTGTGGCCTGGGTTCAGTTCCCGGTTGGGCAACCATGGCAGGTCATGCAGCGTGGCCAAACAAACCAAAAAAACAGGGTAAAAGGTTTGGGTTTCTAGCCAGCATCAGGCACTTCTGGGTTCCCTGACCTATTCTTCTGACGTTGACAGGACCTTAGAGAGATTGAAAATGATGATATGAGAGTGCAGCTTACTGTATTTGATGAACAAGGAGAAGAAGATTCCTATGACCTGAAGGGACGGCTGGATGACATTCGAATGGAGATGGAATATCCTTTTACTGACTGGGTTGAAGATAGATAAGACAATTCAGTTGTTTTCAATTATAGATCCCTGTATGGAATGGTGTGGAATTGATGATCAGAAGAGGGCATTAGTCTGTCTTCTTAGTAGATAAGGCAGCTGTTTTTTGATTGCTGTGGATTTATTTACCTCAGCATGGACTAGAGAAGTTGGAAAAGCTCACCTGAGGGTTGCTCAGCATGGAAGCAGCCATCATAGTTAGTATAGATCTCCTAGAACACAATAGCTTAGCTTATTAAGATGTGGAACTGGTTTTTGAAGGACATAGGTAAGTCAGGGAATAGGGCTGTAACTTGTATGTGCCCCTGCGACTGACATGGGGAATAATTTGGTTACCTGTATGTATTTTCCACAAGTGACTTTGAGGCACTTACCTTTTTCTTTCTGTCTATTGCTCGATTTTCAAGCCAAGTACTAGGCATTTTGTCTCTGTGTGTAGTACCACTGACTCACTGGTCCTCTGGCCAAAGGAAGTTTACACAGCTTAAAGTTTAGGCCAGGGTGTACAGAAGGAACAGCTGTTAGAATAGAAGTGGCATCTTGTTCCTTTTAATGAGAGTTGTCAAGCTACCTGTCAGACATATTTTCTAAGTATATGCTTTCCTTAGCGTCTTCTCCTTTTCCACTGACTTCAGTGAAGTCTTCCAGATTCTGTTAAACACAGTGAAGGATTCAAAGGCAGAGCAGCACTTCCTGTCTATCCTGCAGCACTTACTCTTAGTCCGAAATGACTATGAGGCCAGGTGAGATGGTATACCTTTGGGAAGATTAATCTGAACCTAAATGGAGAGAGCAAAATTCAAGTGAACTGCCCTCTTTCATGGTGGGGTGAAGGTGATAGCCAAGGAAGGCAGCAGTATAAAGTTCTTTCATGTTGGAACATGAGATTCAAGCCATAGACTAGAGATTTAGCAATAGTACTGTCTGTCACAGGTAGGGTCTAGCTTGAATTTTAGATGGAAGATGACTTGCACTGGGAGACAGATGGCAAGAAGTTTTGACTCTCTGAAGTAGATGTGCATAGCTGATGCGGAAGAGGGGGATTTCTTAGAATGGCAGCAGTACTCCGTTAATATTATGAAAAAGTCTTTTCCAGGACATTTATCCTCAGGTCCTTCTATTGTCAAAGCAATTTACCTTTCTTGATCCTGAATACCAAAATTATATTTTGGTTTTCCATTAATAACCTTGTTTCGTTTCTTCTGTAGACCGCAGTACTATAAGTTGATTGAAGAATGTATTTCTCAGATAGTTCTGCATAAGAATGGGGCTGATCCTGACTTCAAGTGTCGGCACCTCCAGATTGATATTGAGGGACTGATTGGTAAGTGTATTCATCTATTTGGTTCTGTGAAACATTGCTTCCACCTTTCATTTTCCATTTTTCTTTCAGTGAAGATTTCAGAGAAGGTAGTTTTTTAGCCCATGGGTATTTCCATTTTCACTCTTTCTTAGGTCATATAACAATATCTATGCTAGGAATATACAGGCCTTTAGTTTATTTCCAAAAAATTCTAAAAGTTTATCCCTTCTCATACACCTCCCCACCTTTTGAAGGGACTTCAGGTATTGTCTGTAACTCCTGCTGGTCCCAGAGATTCATAAGTACTACTTGTAGGCATTTTCTGTGCCATCCAGCATGGTGGCCATACTGTGTAACAGGCACTCAGAAATTATATGTTGAACTTAGCTGAAAGTTCCATTTCTTTGTCCCATACAGAACATTAAGAAGGATAAGAAAAATAACCAAAGGGCAGTCTTTGCTCCTTTTGTTTATATGGAAGGGCTTAGTGAGAGGGGCAGGGGAGAATTGGGAACTTGACTTCCTGACTCTTTGCCTTTTTAGACCAAATGATTGATAAAACAAAGGTGGAGAAATCAGAAGCCAAAGCTACAGAGCTGGAAAAAAAGGTATGTATGAGAGATCAAAAATAATTGAGCTATATCTTTCTTTCTTTGTTTAAGGGTTTTGATTTTTCTGACATGTGACACAGTTACTCATGATATTTTGGAAGCGTTCAGCACACAATAGTAGTTCCTTGGGGAAACCTTTCTGGTGTAGGTTATTCAGTGGAGAAAGTGTGATCATGGTATAGATGTGATCAAGAGGAGCTGGTCCATTGTGAGTTTGCACAGTTCATGGGCCCCCGAGCAGGAGGAAGACAGGTGGAACTCTCATATAACGTTGTCAGCACTTGGGTTTACTTGATGTCTCAGGCCTCTTAGCCATAGAATAATCGGAACTGGAATATGTCTGAATTCTTTTTCTCTTTGATTAAGGACTCCTATTGTTGATAACTTTTTGATCCTTGAGACTGTTGGGACTGTGCACCTTAGCTGTCCTGCTTAAATGTGCTTAAAATCTTGGCGGTGGTGGCTTTTTAAAAAAATCACTCCCAAGTATTGATAGTCTATGGAAATAATCCCTGGCTTCCCCCTCCTTTAAGCTTGATTTTAAGGTCAAAATCATAGTGGCCTGTTTTCCCAGGCATTCCTTGGGTCAGTGAGCTCAACAGATCAAGGATTAACACAAAACAGTAAATTATGGGGAATAATACTGGACTTTTGTTGAGATGGAGAACCTGATTTCTTTCTCTTCTAGCTGGACTCCGAGTTAACAGCTCGACATGAGCTCCAGGTGGAAATGAAAAAGATGGAAAGTGACTTTGAGCAGAAGCTCCAGGATATTCAGGGAGAAAAGGATGCATTGGATTCTGAAAAGCAGAAAATTGCCACGGAGAAACAGGACCTGGAAGCAGAAGTGTCTCAGCTCACAGGAGAGGTAATGTCCAAACAGGGAAGGCAGAGTAACCTGGGACTGCCATCAGCAGCTTTAGGGTGAGCCTGTGTTGGAGCAGGACTCTCTCATCTTACAACTAGGAAGAGTTGAGATACTAATAGGTAATCTAGTTAGGTGGTGCATATTCTTTAAATCATGAACTGTTTTGGGGATAAGTAATACGTAAGAAAGACAATTTGGAGAATACAGAACAACACAAAGAATAAAATGAGTCACTGAACTACCCAGAGATAAAGATAATATTTCTAGTAATTTAGAAATATTCTAGTAAATTTAGGAGTAAATACTAAATAAACTGTTCTATTTACTAATTTTTCGTACGTTAGTCATCTCTGGACAGATCTATGCCTGCATACTCTGCCTGCAGTTAGAAATATTTATATGATCTGTGATACCTGATAACTTGATCACTTTATGTGTTTATATTACTACATTTATAGCACATATGTTAATTATATAACTAGAATATTTGGTTTACTTGATCTTTGCAATTTCTAATCAAAGGGAGAGTTTAACATAAACTTTGAAGTTGCCTTCTTAATGCAAAGCATACTGAACTAAGAACATGAAAACCTGAATTCTAGTTTTGTCTCTGTTGCTAAGTAGCTCTGTGACTTTAGGTGGAGCCTGTCAACTAACTGTTTTCATTCCCTTCATGTGTAAAATGAGAAGTTTGGATCAAGTAATTTCCTAGGTTCTTCCAGTGGTCCCTGAAGTGGAGTGAGACATATTCCTCTTGGTGGTGTTTTTGTAGGTCGCCAAGCTGTCCAAGGAACTGGAAGATGCCAAGAAAGAAGTGGCTTCTCTCTCTGCTGCAGTTACTGCTGTAGGCCCTCCTAGCAGTGCTGCTGTTCCCCCTGCTCCTCCTTTACCTGGTGACTCTGGGCCTGTTGTACCCCCTGTGTCAGTGCCCACACCCCCCCTTCCTGAGGCCAGGGCCAGTCCTCCTCCACCACCTCCTGCTCCTCCTCTACCTGAGTGTGCTTTCCTCTCCCCACCTGGGGGTCCTAGCATCCCCCCTCCTCCCCCTTTGCCTGGAGGTGTTGGCATCCCCCCACCCCCTCCTCCCCCTTTGCCTGGAGGTGTTGGCATCCCCCCACCCCCTCCTCCCCCTTTGCCTGGAGGTGTTGGCATCCCCCCACCCCCTCCTCCCCCTTTGCCTGGAGGTGTTAGCATCCCCCCACCCCCTCCTCCCCCTTTGCCTGGAGGTGTTGGCATCCCCCCACCCCCTCCTCCCCCTTTGCCTGGAGGTGTTGGCATCCCCCCACCCCCTCCTCCCCCTTTGCCTGGAGGTGTTAGCATCCCCCCACCACCACCTCCCCTGCCTGGGGGCCCTGGCATCCCTCCACCCCCTCCTCCCTTGCCTGGAGGACCAGGAGTGCCGCCTCCCCCTCCCCCTTTTCCTGGTGGAATCCCCCCACCCCCTCCATTTCCTGGAGGCCCTGGGGTTCCTCCACCTCTCCCTTTTGGAGTTCCTGCAGCCCCAGTTCTGCCATTTGGATTAACCCCAAAGAAACTTTACAAGCCAGAGGTGCAGCTCCGGAGGCCAAACTGGTCCAAGGTGAGAATTTCTGTCCATCTCTTCATTAGTAGGTTAAGAAAAAAACCCTTCAGCTTCCTACTTTGTGTTTTGTGCATGGTTGGACTCCCCTTTCTTATGGTTCACATCTGTATATCTTCAAGTTCCACTCATGCATATGTTTATTCAGCAGATAATAGACATATCCTGCATGCCAGATATCACTTGGGAGAGTTCTTGGAGCCTGTACTCTGCTAGAAAACCTAAACTTATCCTACAGTTAATGTTTTTTGCCCTTTTCACTGAGAATAATGAGTGCAATGATACCGCCCAGTTTGATAATAGTCATTTCACTGATCTGCAAGGTACTGATAATTTTACTGATCCAAAAGTCATAGATTTATGGATACAGCCCCCTACCACCTCTGCCCACCAGTAAGTGAGTTACACAGGATATGATTGCACAGGTATGGTATGTGTTTGAGACCCTTATGATTCTACATCAGTCCTTTGCTTTTGGAAACCAAGTGAAAATAAAGGAACTTAGGGATTTGTTCATAAAATGAACGAATTTGGTACATTTAGCCACATTGATGGGGCAAGTGTAATGTAAAGCAAGGGAAGATGTAAAATAAAGCCTTATTGCTTCTAAAAGTAGAGCATTTGGGATTAGAAGGAGGATAAGCAGCATATCTGAGTCTAGTTTCTGAATAAATACCAATAAACACACAAGCTGGAATCATCATCTGGTCCACCACAAAGAGCATAGCTATTCTGTGTCTCAGGTTAGTCTTGCTCTAGTAAGATGTTGACAGTGACCAGCCAGCTGCTGCTTTTGCATCTCAATCAGTTTTCTAGGATGGGAAGTACAGAGCTCAGCTTAGTAACTCTTAATACCTACCTGTATCTACAGTTTGTTGCTGAGGACCTTTCCCAAGACTGCTTTTGGACAAAGGTGAAGGAGGACCGATTTGAGAACAGTGAACTTTTCGCCAAACTTACCAGTACCTTTTCTGCCCAGACCAAGAGTGAGTCCTTTCCTCTTTCTGGCAAAGGGCCAGATTTAGGACTGGGGGCCAGACTAGGACTTAGAAGGTTCATTAAGGTGGTCTCCCATTTCTTTCCCTTCCCTGGCTGAGGACTGAAGAGAGCTGGGGGTTCCTATTCAGAAGAAAGTAAGTTTGGTCTTGTGTTCTGGGGATGCTGGAGTTGACAAAGAGAACTGTTGCATGTAGGTGTTTTGTCCCCCAGTTTTTGTGCACGTAGGTATTTTATGTAGTGGAGCATGTAGGGATGTGAGATTAACATCACAGAGCTCAGGCTGGGCCCATCTTGAAAGGTTTCTGGCACTGCCTTTAAGGCGCCATCCTCAAACCTATATACGTAGTTGATCAGAGTTGGGCAGAGTCCTTAGTATTAGTAGGTCAGGTGGCTGAGCAACTGTCTTTGTACAATAACAGAGAACCATATGTGATCCCTTTTTTTTTCCATTTCTTTCCAATATCTGATGCTTTCTCCTTCCTGGCCATTTGCTCCTGCAGCTTCAAAAGGTAAGAGTACCGAAGAGCCATGTAGTTGGGTCTCTTGAATATTAGAGAAAACAGTGAAACAGATGTAAAGGAATTTCTCTTTGAAAACTAAGACTAGAAACTGGGGACTGATTTCTCTTTTGCTAGTTTTTTTTAAGAGTCCAGAGGGACCAGTAACTGATGTTAACTGACAGGGACGAAAATTACTTTAAGTCAAAGCTACCATATACTTGTTCTTTCTTTGGAAGGTGAGGGACAGCTTAAATAATAATGCTATTACTTTACATTTGTGTTGTGTTTTACAAATTTGAAAGTTCTTGAACATATTTTACCCTGTTAAGCCTGCAAAGAAACCTTATGAGATAGGCAAGGTGTATGTTATCTCCATTCCATAGTGTTCATAGACTGATTAGTTAAGTAGCTTGCCAAAGTTTGTATGACCAGATCCAGGGATCCTGACTTCTAGTCTGTCTTTTCATATAAATGTTGCTTTTCATCCTCACCTTCGTATCTTCCCTTTTATTTTAGAAGAGCTGATCTCTTTTGGCCTTTTCTTTCTTCACTTCCTAATTCTTGTGGTTTCACGCTCTTTTGTGATGGGGCATTGTAGTTATTTCCCCAGAGAGATGCAGTATTTGAAAAATATTGTCATTACCTAATGACAGTTAGAACCTAGTAATTTTGTATTTCCAACGTCTACCAGCTTTTTTGTTTATTTAGAGGTTTATTTTGATCCTAGTGATAACAACTGAGTGCAGCTGAGAGCATTCCCCTTCATCAGTAAATAAGCATTTTTAAAGACAATTACTACCTTTTTCCTTAAGTGATCTGATGAGACTAGACTGCACTTTGTTCTAATAAGAAATCTATTGGAGAGAGTACCCTGGTGCCTAGTGATTAGGATTCGGTGCTTTCACTGCAGAGGCCCAGGTTTGGTCCCTGGTTGGGGCATCATCCCACATGCTACATGGCATACCTCTGTTAATTGTTCAGTCATGTCCAACTCTTTGCTATCCCATGGATTATAGCCTGCCAGGCTCCTCTGTCCATGGGATTCTCCAGGCAAGAATACTAGAGTGGGTAACCGTTCACTTCTCTGGAGGAAATTTCTGACCCAGAGATTGAACCCAGGTCTCCTTCCTTGCAGGCAGATTCTTTACTGTCTGGGCCACCAGGGAAGCATGGCAGGGCCAAAATAAAAACAAAAACCCAAAACAGCCCATGCTGCTGGCAGCCCTTAGGTGTGTGTGTATCCGGGAGTCAGAGATCACAGTGCTGTCCTGCTGCCCTAGCATTCAGGGCAAAGTTGCCTTTTCCTCTAAGAGATTTATCACCTTCTGAACTAAAGTTCAGCCCAGAAAATTACTTCCACCCTCTTAGTTAAAAACGCTGTGATAAGGACCACTTATACTACTCTAGAATATCAACAAAGACTGGTTGACAGTGAAGATCAACATCAAATCTGCTAATTTGTAAGCTCACAGAATCTATCCCTGTATTGGCTTCTGGTATCACTTTCTTTCTGGTGGGTGCCCTGAGTGCCACTGCAAATGACGGGGTCCCTTTTCCTCCCTGCTCTGTCACCATCCTTCTTTTATTCTATACATTTGTACTGCTGTTGATTGCAGCAGAGTTTTCTTCAGTTTAGTGGTTTTCCTTGGCATTACATTCCCACTTTGAATTGGTATATAATGTTTTTTAAATACTAAGCAAGACCTTATCTCATTTTTTATTATTTTTCAACAGTGTAACCAAACTTTTCAATGTTCTTTAGTCTCAGTTTCTGCCCTGGAAACTACTTTCTAGTCACTGATGATTCTAACTTCCTGACAGCTTTGGCTTCCCCACCCCCTTAAATTATTCTTAGAAATAGCTATATCTTAATCTGAAAAGAGTAAGTGTCAATTAGTCAATTTAGTGTCAGTTTTTATTTTCATGCAGTAATAATCATCATTAATAGTTTGTTGCTACTTTGACGGACAGTTCTAGCTAGTCTTTAAATATCTGTATAGTTAGGACTTTCAGGTGTTAAATTGTCACCCTGTCTTAATTTCCCAGTCTTTTTTATTAGGAAGAACTAGAGAGGGTAGTCTTGAAAATTATTAAAAACATGAGCAATTTTCTAAACAGCCTAAGTTTTAATCACTTTAAGAAATTCCTGGGGGAGATTTTTTTCCCTGCCAATAAGTACTTATAGTTTACCCAACTCTTAACAGTTATCTGCAACACTCCCATAGAGTGAAACTTTCCTGCTTGTCATCAACCAACACTAAACTTCTATGTTTCCAATTATCTTCCCACCCAAAACAAACACTTCTTCCTTTAAAAATTATTTCTTCTTTCAATTTTCAGTGTTTTACTGACTTTGATTTTTTTTTTTTTTCTTCTACATTTTCTTGCTTTCCTTCCCTTTGACTTATTCTGCAAATCTGTGGTGATTTAAGAGTATTTGAATGTCAGGGCTGGTTCTAATGTGTGTTTCTCGGGGACAGGATAGTTGCTTTGACATCCAAGTAGCAGGTGGAGGTGCTGTATGTGGACCCAGTGCCTCAGCATGCACTGTGATCCAGGGAGCTCACCTGCTCTGCCTTTCCTGAGCAGTTTTGAGCCTCCCCTTCTTGGTGCTCTGGTTGGTAAACTTAATACAAACTCTTCCCAGGTAGCCCCTTTCTTTCAACCTGGCCCCCCAAAAACATTTTAGTAAAAAAGACTAGGATTCTTAGAGTTCAGGTTTTCATCAGGTAAAGAATTTCAAGCTATAGAAACTTCAGAGGTGAGGACTTAGAGGATTGAGTCCTCAGTGTGAAGGCAAGGTTTCTGGTTCTTTGAACATCTCTAGCATGATATTGCAGAATACCTTCATTCTTAATCCTTTTTTCAAGTAGGTAACCAGTTTCAGTAACCAAGTCTCTCATTCACAGTCTTAATATTGATGCTATAATTAAATGATAAGTAAATACTCAGTAGTAGTAGTAATGTTAGTCACTCAGTTGTGGCTGATTCTTTGTGACCCAGTGGACTGTAGCCTGCCAGGTTCCTCTCTGTCCAAGGCATTCTCCTGGCAAGAATACTGGAGTGGGTAGCCATTCCCTGCTTCAGGGGATCTTTCTGACTCAGGGATCAAATCCCAGTCTCCTGCATTGCAGGCAGATTCTTTATCATCTGAGTCACCATTACCACTCTAACTATTTCATCTTCCAGATGAAGACGTAGAGATATTGGTTAAATAATTTTTTCAAGGCTCTATGGTAAGTGCCAGAGGCAGGATTCAGACTCCAGACTGACTCCAAAGTCCTGCTTTAGCTCTCTCCTTTCCAGATGTGTATGTTCCTGCTCTTAAGAGCTTCTGAAGGCTGAGATCCAGATGAAAGCTTGAAGAGGTGGGGATATGCTGGCTTCTGCTACCACCTCATTTATCATGGCACCAGTATTCTTGAATTGAAAGTGACTCTTATGAGTACAAAAAAGGAGCAACATTCGATTAGGGAAAGTAAGATATCAGATATTTAGGGTTGAAGAAGAGAAGCCATTTTCTGATTACAGTATATTGAACTCTAGTCAAACTAATCCAGCTGGAGAAGTATAGAATGCGTGTCTAGTACAGTAGACGTCTTGCTTAGTTGATTTCAGCCCAGCAGTTGCCAGTCTTGAGGAGGAAGTCATCAAGGTTTTCATAATATTACATTGTTTCCTTTCTCACTTGCTAAACACAACTCTCTGCTGTTTGTTAAGTGTGGCAGTATTCCTCTTACATTTTAGTGATACCTGAAACCTCCCATATAGTGACTGGCTCCTCCAGGAATGACCATTAAAGACAACATCCACCTTATTCTTGACACCTGCCTCTTGTAGTCAGAGGTCTCCAGCCATTGCTTCATTAAGGTTCAGGAAGATGTGTGCTGTTTACTAAGAGAAGAGCTAAGAGAGAGGAAAGTGAAAGTGAAGTCGCTTAGTCGTGTCTGACTCTTTTGGCCAGGCTTCTCCATCCATGGGATTCTCCAGGCAAGAATACTGGAGTGGGTTGCCATTTCCTTCTCCAGGGGATCTTCCCCACCTAGGGATCATACCCAGGTGTCCCGCATTGCAGGCAGTGCTTTAACCTTTGAGCCACCGGTAAAGCCCCGAAGAGAGAGGAAGTGGTCCCCAAATTGATGCTACAGAATCCTTTATGCATTTTTCTCTTTAGGATTATTCTTTTGTTTCTGATCTCCTGACTTTGTAAATCAAGGATTTACTTATTTGATTTATTCCTTGACAGAGAATATTTTGAATTTTGATTTGATAGGCAGTGCTGTAAAACATCTAGTCCTTTTTCACTCTCACTTTCCTTAGGGTGATTAGCAAGGAATCTTTTATCATAGTTTCTGTATTGAATCTGCTTCTTGAATTCCTGAGAACATGTTCAGTAGTTAAATTTTATTCTTGTTCATTTTCTCTTTGGGAGCATTTTCATCACCGTGGTAGCCTCAGGTCATTATTTGTTATACAAATAACTAGTT